TCTATCCTCTTTCATTGGTCCATATGCCTGTTCTTGTACCAATACCAGGCTGTTTTGATTATTGTAGCCTTATAGTAAAGTTTGAAGTCTGGGTGTGATACTTCCTGCTTTGTTTCTTTTCCTAAGGATTGTTTTGTCTATTTGTGGTTGTTTATGTTTCTATATGAATTTCTGTATTGTCATTTCCAGGTCTGAGAAGAATGCTGCTGGTAATTTAATGGGTATGTGTTGAATCTGCAGATTGCCATGGATAGGATGAACATCTTAACAATGTTGATCTTCCTATCCATGAGCATGGAATATTTTTCCATTTGTTTGTGCCTTCTTGAATATCTTTGAACTGTGTTTTGTAGTTTTCATTGTAAAGTTCTTTCACTTCTCTATTTAGGAAGATCCCAAAGTATTTCATTTTTTGTGGTTATTGTGAATGGTATTGTGCTTTTTATTTGGTTCTCTGCCTATTTGTTGTTTATGTATAAGAATGCAACTATCATTTGCACATTTGATTTGTACCCCAAGACTTTGCCAAAGGCCTTTATCAGTGCAAGCAAGTTTTTGACAGATTGTCTTGGATTCCAAGGAATAAGATCAATCAACAAAGAGGTATAACTTAACTTCCTCTTTTCCTATTTGGATACCCTTGATTTCCTTCTCTTGTCTGATTTCTTTAGGTAGGACTTCAAACACAACATTGAACAAGAGGGGTGAGAGTGAGCAGCCTTGTCTTGTTCCAGTGTTCAAGGGAAATGCTTCCAGTTTCTGTTCATTTAGCAATATGCTATCTTTGGGTTTATCGTAGTTGGCAATTACTATTTTGAGGTATGTTCCTTCTATGCCTAAGTGTTTGAGGGCTTTTATCAAGAAAGGATGCTGGATTTTATAAAAAACTTTGCATCTAATGATATAATTATGTGGTTCTTGTTTTTACATCTGTTGTATTTAATTACATTTATAAACTTGCGAATGTTGAACCAACTCTGCATTCTGGGAATGACGCCTACTTGGTCATGGTGGATGATTTTTGAGATGAGTTGTGGGATCTGATTTGCTAGAATCTGTTGAGGATTTTTGCATCTATGTTCATAAGGGGTATTGGGCTGTAGTTCTCTTTTTTGGTTGGATCTTTTCCTGGTTTGGGTATCAGTGTAAAGTTAGCCTTGTAAAATGATTTGGGAGAATTCCATCTTTCTCAATTGCCCGGATTACTTTTATTAGGATTGTTACAACTTTTCCTTGTACATTTTGTAGAATTCTGCTGGAAAGTCATCTAGTTCACAGTTTTTACTTGTTGGTAGTTTTCTTATGACAGAGTCAATATTCTGGGTTGTTATTCGTCTATTTAGTTTCTCAATGTCTTCTTGTTTCAACCTGGAGAGGCTGTGTGATATCAGAATGTCCTTCATTTCATTTATGTTACCAAGTTTGTTTCCATACAGGTGTGCATAGCAATCTCTGATAATCTTCTGTATTTCTTTGGGGTCAGTTGTGATTTGATCTTTTGCATTTCTGATTGTGTTTACTTGGCCTTTTTCTCTCTTTTTCTTGGTCATTCTGGCTAGGGCTTCATCAATCTTGTTAATTCTTTCAAAGAACCAGCTTTTTGTTTTGTTGATGTTTTTATGATATTTTTATCGTCTATGTCCCGAATATGGGCTTTTACTTTAGTTTTCTGGATTTTTCTGCTAAATTTAGGGTTTTGGTGGTCTTGTCTTTCTAGCTCCTTTAGGTGATTTGTTGGGCTGTTAACTTGCAATCTTTTCATTTCTTGATGTGTGTTCATAGAGATATAAATTCCCCTCCTAGACCTGTTTTCATGGCATCACAGAGGTGCCTTGGGGGTCCTGAGAGAGAGCAGTGAGAGATTAAGAAAGACACAGACACAAAGAGATAAAGAAAAGCTGGTAGGACACTTTCCTCTGGTGGAGGAGAAGAGGCCCCGAACTCGCTCAGCATGCTTATTGTATAATCAAGCACAAAGGAAGTTGGAAGGGGTTCAAGGTCTAGAAGGGAGCTCTAATGGAATTTTGTTGCTATCTAAATGGCAAGCTGTTCTTCGATTATCTTGTTGCTGCCAAGGCTTTATCTGTCCTATTTGCATCCGAATGTGTGGACTCTGAAATGCAATTCCATGTAGTAGGCTGCATCTCTTGCTCTTTGGCTAGGGCGCAGAGCAGCCAAGCAGGACCTTGCCTCCGCTTGGGGCCTGACTTTTGCTGGAGTCAGCTGTCTGGACAGTGCTCATTTGCTCCCCACAAGTCCACATCTTTATTAAGCCTTTTTAGTGAGCTCTTAATCTTAATCATTAGGCTTTTCAACCCCACCATTTCTATTTGTTGGGTTTTTAAAAATTCCTATCTTTTTATTTGATATTCTCTATTTGGCAATATACGGTGTTCTCACACTTTTCTTTAATTCTTTAGTTTTTTTGTTAGTTCTTTGAACATATTTAAAATAGCTTGCTTGATGTCTTTGTATGGTAAATCCTATGTGTGTGTTTCCTTAGCAACAGTTTGTACCGACTGCTTTTTTTGTGTGTGTGTATGGGCCAGGCTTTCTTGTTTCTTTGAATGTCTTGTAAACAATTAGACTTTCTAAATAATAGCATGTCGCAACTTCTGGATATCACATTTTTTCTCTAGAATTTGTTGTTATTGTTTTGTTGTTGTTACTACTGTTTGATTGTTTGGTGATTTTCCTGAACTAATCATTCTGTAAAGTATGTATTCTTTGTTGTTTATGGTCACTGATGTCTCTGCTTGCTTATATGAGAAGTTAGCTAGTGACTAGACTGAGATGTTCTTAGGTGACCAGAACTAATAAATTTCCTAGCCTTTCTACTTTCCTGACAAGGGGCTCTAGGTCAGCATTGTGGAAGGCCTTCCAACACTCGAGCAGACATTTTGAAACTTTGTGTAACTTTTCACTTTCTACGGTCACTGATCTCACATCACTCACAAGTCAAGATCAGGCAATAGTGAGCGCTTAGGGTTTTATCAGGTCTTTCAAAAGAATGTCCACAGCCCTGGGCCCATATGCAGCCCAATACAAGCATGTGATCACTTAGATTAACAGGAATGTATCAGAGATTTTCAACCCCCTCCCCCACACTGACATCTTTTTCCATAAGTTTTCCTTTTAGAATTTTTTATTGACTTGTTGTTTGCTCTCGTTGCTATTGCTGCCTCAGCCAGTTGCGATGGCAATATAATTGCCATGATTTTTTTTTCCTTTTTTTGGTGGGGCCGGAGTGGCGATGGGGAGAAATGCTCCCAAGGAACAGATTGTTTAACACTGGGCAAGCTCTGAGTCAGGCCAAATAAATTCAAGCTCTGAGTCAGGCCAAATAAATTCTTGTGAGTGGGATTTTTCCAGGGAACTTACAGTTCTTTAGGATTGGGCTTTGGGGTAGCTCCCACCACCTTCTGACCCTTCTAGTGGCTGCTAGGCTGCTGGTTTTCATCCGGATTGTGGGACTGTTTTCAAGACTTCTGTGGAGCTGAGGGGAGGAGGATGTGCATACAGCAAGTTAAAATCTTGAGAACCTCAGCGTTCTTACTGATATCCGGATGTTTTTCTTGAATAAACCCTCCCTAGGATGTTATAAGCTTTTTGTTAATTTCCAGAGTTCTGAAAGAATGGGTTTTGGCAATTTTTCCAGTGTTCTCATTGCTTTTACGGAGGAGAGGATGCTTGGAGGTCCTTACTCTGCCATTTCTAATACCCCGTATTGCTTTTGAAAGACAAAACGAAAACAAACACAAAACTAGCTTTTAAAAATAAAATAGTCTTCAAAACAAAGGAGCACCTGTCTTTTTGTCATCTGCACAGGTCAGAACCATGACTGAAATTTTGCATTCAGTTCTGTATTCCACAGTTTTTATGGAGCAATGGAAAACTGCAGCACTTTGAAAGAGGGCAACTGGGTGGTAAAATATGTAGAAGTCATGGCAAATTTAAAAATGATAAAGAAATAAATGAAAGATATTTGACATGAAAAAAGTCAGGGTACCGTATTAATTCTTGTTTTTTGTTTTGGAAAAGCTGTTATTGAAAAAGGGATTAGTCTAATTCGTGTGGTCCCATAGGGTAGATCTAGGTAAATACTAAGGTGAAGAAAATAAGAAAAAAATTTCTAACATCTGGAGTGGTATAGAAAAAGATTGGGCCTTGTCATGAGGTAATGAGAGTCTTGCTACTATAAATGTCCAAGTAAAAGTTATGACACAACCACTCAGGGCTATTCTTGTGAGGATGCAGTTGTAGGTTGGCATTTATGACCCATAAGTTCTCTTTTGGCATCAAGAATCTTGATTGGAACTTTTTAAAAGTTTAATTAGTTGAGGTCTAATTTCCTAAACTGACCCTATGAAGATATTATGGGAAGTGCTATCTCTTGATCCCATTATGTTTATTTAAATTAAGACTGTTCTGTTTTTTCCATTATTGCTACCATTGTTCTTTAAGCTTCCACAGTTTTAGTTGAATTTATGTGTTATCAAATTAAGTAAACTGAGTAAATAATCTGAATACAAATAAAATAGAATCAAGAATTAAGATTACATAATGACCATAAAAGTGGGTTTTCTCCCATTCTAAATTAAATGGGCACAAGACATTTTTGTTCATCTTTTTTTATTAAAGCATTTTTCATAATATTCAGGAAAATACAATCTAAAATCTCATATTATTAGGCCTGAAATTCAGGGCTGAGGTAATATAAAGGAAACATGAACACATGCTGAGTGACCTAAACATTTTGCATTGGTGGTGGATGGGATTAGAAGTATAGGTTTTATTTCTCTTACATAGGAATTTGTTTCTTATGAGAGTTAGATCAACTTTGCCTTCTTCTAAATGGCAAACAACAATTTCTAAGTTATTTTAACGGGTATTTTTTTTCACTTAGATTGTTTAGTACCATGAACAATACACAATTTCCTTAGTTATGAGGATAAAATACAAGCAAATTTAGCATCATGTCAATTACTGTGAATCCACAGGTTGCCACATGGACATTATCCAACGTCTTGCATTTTCAGATGTGAATGTTGCCAAAGTTATCACTCCCGATGTTTTTGTATGTCGAACCATTTGCACCTATCATCCCAATTGCCTCTTCTTTACATTCTATACGAATGCATGGAATGTGGAATCTCAAAGGTGAGTATGAATATGTAGTATTTCTGCTGGCTTTCATCACTTTTATTTTATAGTTTGAGTTTTAACTCTTCTCCTGCTCACCCCAAGAATGCTCGCTGGTGGCGCTAGTGGCTGCAGTGTTTACCCCGAGATAATGTGTTGACTACAGTCCTAACCTTACCCCCAAAGTTTGCCATGAAATATCTTGCTTTTGTTATTATTTTTTTTATCACTCTAGCACATCAAAAGTCTTTGGAAACAAATGACATCATTCTATTTATAGCATTCTGGTTTTAGTAGTGGTATTTCCATGTACAAAATACAGTAATTTTCTCTTTTTCTCTCTCTTTAAAATAATTCTTGTTAGGATTAAAGACAAGTTAAATAACTCCACGAACAGTTTGGATATTTTATTAACCAGTCAGATTGGCTTCAGCCTCAGAGATCATATTTATATAAAAGTAAATGAATGCAGCAGTGAACTGCACTTTTTTTTCTAAACAGGAAATGGGTTTAAAAGTTTTGTATATTTCTCTCAAAACACTTGAACCTGTAGTTTAAGTAGGTATTTTTCTGCCAGGTGCAGATTAGTTGAGAGATTAGCAGACCTTTCCACCTACTTTCTCTTACCTAAAATGAACATACCATTGAATCAATGAAGCAATGGCCATGGGAAAAAGAAGGATCTGATGCTTTTTTTACTGATCTTAATGTTTTGTATTCGCTTGGAATAAAAATGGACATGCTGGCAGTATCTGTAAGCTTATTGACTCTAACGTCTCTCTGTTTCAGAAACCAGGACACTATTTATCCTGATCAAGGTTCTTGTTCAACCTCCTTGTCTTGGATAACCCCTTAGATAACCCACTCCTGTACATAATAGCATGGAGCTTAGAAAAGGTTATATTGGTATATAGTAGCATTGACTGTGTAAATCCACCAAATTTGTTCTTTGACCCCCCTTTTTTCTTTTTTGCTTTTTCAATTAGAAGGTAGAACTTTACCATTATCTTCTCTTTAGACTATCTGTGCCTGTTAGTTTTCTCCAGAGGGAGATGTGACTTGATTGACGTTTAATCTCTGCAATTTAGTTGAGTCCTGTAGTCGGACTTACTTTGAATAAAATTTCTCAGAAGAATAAAATTTGCAGAGTTGCTTTTGGATGTCAGTTGCTTTTGTACTTGGCTAATAACTTCGATACAGTTTTCTTTCTCGTTCTTTTTTTTTTTTTTTTAATAGAAATGCTTGTTTCCTCAAAACTTCTGAAAGTGGAACACCAAATTCTACCTTTCAAGAAAACACCATATCTGGATATAGCCTTTTAACCTGCAAAAAATCCTTACCTGGTAATGTAATTTGAAAATAATGTTACATAAACTGTGACAAACTTTATGATTTTAAAATAAGTGATAGTGATGAAACAACCCTCAAGGTATCAGAAACTTGTGTAAATGTACTTTGTTGCTTTTCTCATTTCATATCTTTGTGTGTTTATAATCAACACAGAGCCCTGCCATTCCAAAATTTACTCTGGAGTTGACTTTGGAGGGGAAGAATTGAATGAGACCTTTGTGAAAGGAGTTAATGTTTGCCAAGAGATTTGTACGAAGATGATCCGTTGCCAGTTTTTCACTTATTCTTTAGTCCCAGAAGACTGTAAAGAAGAGAAGTAAGGGAAATTTTATTGTTTAAACACAGTCAACAAGATCATTTTATATAATTTTGCCCTCTGAATGTGTAATCTTTCTATTGTTTATTTTATCTAGGTGTAAATGTTCCTTAAGATTATCTTTGGATGGTTCCCCAACCAAGATTACATATAGGACACAAATGAGCTCTGGTTATTCTTTGAGATTGTGTAAAAGTGGGGACAGCACTGGTGAGTCAACTTTGATTTTTCATGGAACTGTAAAGGGATGTCTGTATTCTTTTGAGAGCTTGCATAGTCTTACATAATGAAATTGCATATCTTGTTTTTCTTGACTGGAGAGGACTCTGACTTCTAATTCCAACTGTTAGCGTCAACACTGTCTTTTTAGTTTGCACAACAAAAGTAAGTGCACGCGTTGTTGGAGGAGCAAACTCTTCTTTGGGGGAGTGGCCCTGGCAGGTCAGCCTGCAAGTGAAACTGACTGCAAGGAGACACCTGTGTGGAGGGTCAATAATTGGTCACCGGTGGGTCCTCACTGCAGCTCACTGCTTTGATGGGTAAGTGTGGGGTGCATTTTACCTAGAGTCTTATCTTGACTTCTCTTTTTAAATGTCCATAATAAGTTTCTCCATCATCATGTGACTTTATGAATGAAGAGCTATTCTCTTCTAATAAAACACATTTCAAAGCAGGGATAGTCTTCAAAATATTTAACAACTAGGTGGGTCTAAGCACTGACCAATGGGTGACTATCCTTTCTGCCAAAAATAAAGTAAAACAATGCCTGACTGCTCTCCCTTTTCCCCATCCCTAATATATTCTTCAAAGACTTCTTTTTTCAGGCCCATAGAAACTTTACTTTTTACTCTTTGATTCACTGTATACTAAGTAATAATAATAAAACAGAATGTGATAGTTTATTACTCTATATATTTCAATGTGTATAATCTTATGTAATATATCCATATTATTGGGCAAATAGTACATGCAGTAGGGTTTTTAAATCTTAAAACACTGAGGCTTTGTAGTTAAACAAACCATGATTTGTATGACAAATCTGCTGCGTATTAAAAGTGTAACCTTGGGCTACTCATGCATGTCTCTGAGCTTTGTTTTATCTGAAATATGAATAATAGTACCTAATTTGTAAGATTGTTGGAAGGATTAAGTAGCACACTCAAACTGCTTAGTATGTACCTAGAACGTAGAAACTACTCAAAAATATAAGCTGTGATTACTATATTGAATAAGAAATGTAAAAATGGACACAGCATATGGATGAGCAAAAGAGACAATGGTGGACAATCAATATTCTTTCTCAAAAATAAACACCAAGTACTTTTGTTTTAGCAGAATTCATGCCAGTCATGTGTACCAGGATTGCACATACTGCTGCCAAAATATAGCAGCTGGTGTCACAGCTGGGCTGAGCAAGGTCTCTCATGTTGTCACCTACTACATATGGGGCTCTAATTACCGTGGTCTTGCTAAGGAAAAGTGGCTGGCCAGGAAGAAAAGGTCCCAAGATGGAAAATAGTAGGCCCCCTTTTTACTAAATGCACCCCAATTTTGGACCAAGAATTTTAATTCTCGAAGGCTCAGAGTTGTGAGTTTATAAGTAATGACAGACCTAGAAAACACTTAGATGTCGTTGAAAGACAGCCCCTTTGCATCTTATATTTCTGTTATTTTTCTAGAACTTTGTGCGAGCATGTTTTGTACCACTTGATGGGGATAAAAGTTTCCAGATCTTTGCACAGAATAAGACTGTGTTTTAGCTCATAGTTTTGGATATACTTTGAATATGCTAATCCTTTAAAAGGTTAATTTAAATTTTTATTCATTTCAAAATATAGATGCTTTTAAAATTTTTATTTATTTTTATTGAGTTGGCGTCTCACTCTGTTGTCCAGGCTGGAGTGACGTGCACGCTCACGGCCACCCAGGGTTGACCTGCTAGGCTCCGGTGATCCTTCTGCTACAGCCTTCCAAGTAGCCAGAACTACAGGTGTGCGCTACCACGTCCGGCTAATTTTTGACTTTTTTATTGTAGAGATGAGGTCTTGCCAAGTTGCTGGGACTGGTCTTGAACCCGCAGGCTCAGGCAATCCACTCATCTCAGCCTCCCAAAGTGCTGGGATTACAGGCTGAGCCACCAAGCCCAACCTAAATATGTTTTAAACAACACTGAAGGTGGTACCTAATTTGCCCTACACAGCTTATATTATCTACTAGAATTATCTGACTTCTTAATAGTTCTGAATTTAATTAACGCAATTGCGTCCAGGTTTAGTGAATTGAGCTTGATTTTCTCTTGATAAATTGCTGGAGTCTCTTCCCGCCACAACTTTTCCCAAAGTGTGAAAGCAATGTTCTTATATTTTTACTTGCAGTAAACATAATATAATTGCATAAATGTACATTTTCCCATTTTTTAAACTGAATCTTCAGAGGTTCAATACTGCTGTTGTTGGTGATGACTGATTGCCAGGAGGAGGAATTAAGAAGGGAAAAAATATGTCCTATGTGGTATTTCCTTCCCAGTTCTTTTTGTAAGTGAAAGTGAAAGGAAAAAAAAAAAAACAAACCAAAAAACAGTATCAAAGGTCAGCCTTTCCAGATTCAAATAGGTATTTATTTTTCTCTCCTAGGATTCCCTTACCAGATGTTTGGCGAATTTACAGTGGCATTTTAAGTCTATCAGAGATTACAAAAGAGACCTATTTCTCACAAATACAAGAGATTGTTATTCACCCAAACTACAAAATCTCAGAAAGTGGTCATGATATTGCCTTAGTAAAACTTCAGACTCCTTTGAATTACACCGGTAAGTAGCACATTAAGAAGAAGCTGTACAGCTGAATTGTATTGTTTTAAATGTTCACATCAACTTGAATGAGAGGGCAGATCTGGAGAGATTATCTTTATTTTTTGGCTGGTAGAGTTGAGGGCAAGGTGAGGGTGGCAAGGGAAGTGAAGACCCTGCAACGTGACATAAAGTCTCTTCTACTTAAGGGACAGGACATTTTCATGAATTCTTTCAGGAGGAATATAACTGTATGTACATTATTGAAACAATAGGTATAGGGAATGTCTGTACCATCTGGGAAGCATTGGGCTTCCTTTGACAAGAGTAGCAGAATTACAGTGCTTTGGGTTTAGGAATATTAGGAATCTATGAGGGCAAGTGGAATATTAATTTCCAGGTATAATTTGGATAGAAAAGAGACTGAGGCAGAGAGAAGCTCTCAGAAGACTAGAGCATCATGGTTGGAGGTGTTGATTTTGGAGGTGCCACCCTCCACTGGAGCTGCACAGACCCCGTGACCAGGAATGATTGTGTGCTCTCGGGCAAGTTCCTTAATCTCTTTGCACCTCTAGTTTCCACATCTGTAAAATGGGGACCATGATTTTCTCCTGAGTTTGTAATAATAACTAGGTAAGTTAATATGTTAAAGTACTTAAAACAATGTCTGCAACAGTGTCGATACCCCGCTATGACAATTAAGTATAACAAGTGCTGAATAAGACACAAGAACTTCTAACTGCTTTTGACAGTAGTTTTGGGTTCTTGGTTTTTTATTTAATCTAGGAAAATTTAACCCCCAAAAGTCATGTGAAGTTGGTAACAGATTTTCCGGAATCATTGACCATAGAAACTAAACAGACAGCAAAATGACTACTCTCGGTGCTACTCTGTAGAAAGAGAATATGGGAAAAGAAAGGAATGCTTTTTAAAAGTCAGTAGTCATAATTTTATCTGACCAAACTCTAATCTAAAACTTACCTTTCAGAATTCCAAAAACCAATATGCCTACCTTCCAAAGGTGATACAAATGCAATTTATACCTACTGCTGGATAACTGGATGGGGCTTCTCAAAGGAAAAAGGTACAGCATGACATTTTAAATGTTGTTTCTAGAGCAAGTCTTTTTTCCTTTTTTGAGTCAGAGTCTCACTCTTTCACCCAGGCTGCAGTGCAGTGGCACACTCATGGCCACTGCAGCCTTGACCTGCTAAGTTCAGGCAATCCTTCTGCTTCAGCCTTCCAAGTAGTTGGAACTACAGGTGTGCACCATCACATCCAGTTAATTTTTTGATTTATTGTAGAGATGAGGTCTCACCATATTGCCCAGGCTGGTCTCGAACACCTGATCTCAGGCAATCCTCTCGCCTCTGCCCCCCAAAATGTGGGGATCACAGGCATGAGCCACCGCACCCAGCTGAGCAAGTCTTACGTGTTAAAATACTTGGAGTGGGTCAGTTTAAGCAGCTTCTGTCGAAAATATCTCTAAACTTGTGATCTTTCCAATCTGTTTACTCCCAAATATTTATTCAGCGATTCTTGAGGAGATGTATTTTTGCCTAGGGCTGAAAAGAATTTATAAGAGAAACTTTTAAGCATCTTACTTTATTGTAGAGATCACTTGCTTGACTTCGCGTGAAGGATCAGGCCCATAGAGGGCTAATAAGCCCACTCATTGGTCCTCAGGGTTAATTCCCAGCGCTCAATACCACATTCTCCCTTGATATTAACGGCCAGGAGCAGGGGCAGGCTCTCAGTCTTTCTTTTCCATGCACCCTTCCTGCAACCTGACGAAGCCTAGGAACTACTTCTTTAATAAAGCTTTTAAATGTTTAAATCAAATACACAGGATTGCAAAGGAAACAAATTAAATTGCCAGCAAGTTACCAAAATACTTTTTAAAAAATGATACAGTAGTATTTAGGCTTCTTTATTAGTCTGCTGCATAGCAAGCTGTTCTAACACCTGCCATAATTTTGAAAGAGTGGTAAGCATGATTGGTATTTTCAATTTCTGCCACAGCTGTAATGTCATATGAAAATATCTGTGATCTCTATTGGTAGCAAAGTCATAGTTTCTGCTAATACTGCTGTGTTTGTCACCTGCATTCGTCACTGAAGAGAGTGCTGGGCTTCACTCGGGAGCTAATGAAAATAAATATTTTCTTCCTCTCTAAGTTGATGGGCCAGGCAAATTCTTTCTGTGGACTCTAGGTTTATAATCCCTTCTAAAAATGTTTGGAGTGTTTCAATGGCCCTTGAGCTTTTCAGGGCACGGACTATCCTTTCTTTCCAAAATTATGTTCCTGATAGACACTATAGAAAATAATAATAATATTTACGTCATTCTTTACAAAAGGAGATAGCTTGCCAAGCTCTCTTCATCATACCTGATTAATTCCTTTACTCAACTAATTCAAATTTTTGAATTGCTTACTAGTAATTTGAGACAGGAAGAAATTAAAAGTAACTTTATCTAAGCAAAGAAAGCTCCCAACATATATCCAAGGGGAATTTGGAAGAGGATGAAATTTAAACTATCTGTAAATAAATTATTCTTTATGGAAAATGCTCACTTGCATTTACTCAAAGAACAAAATACTTCTCTGTTGCCAGAAGTCTGAGATTTTTTTTTCAGAAATGATATATTCTTAAATTATAATTTTGAATATATAAAAAAACAAACAAAAAAGGTAAGAACTTCCAGGTTTTGGGATTGTAGGTATAGGTATAAGAAGGGATTTCTGAAAGTCTCTACTGAGATAAAAGCATGGCAGAAAATATGGAAGCAGAGTCTCCAGTCATCTCAGGGATTAAGAAAGTCCTGACAATGCACCGGAGATGAGAGGACAACATCGGCGCTGTTTCTCTCTCTCTCTCTCTCTCTCTCTCTCTTTCCCTCTCTCTCTCTCTGGGTGTGTATGGGTGTCTGTATGTGTATGTGTATATAACTCTACCTTTACTGTTTATTTTTATTCAAACATATGACTCATGAAAAGTTCACCATCCTGCTTTAAACCTTAAGTCTTATCTCCATGCTTCTTATACATTGTATTTCTTCCCTCTGAAGTTGTATACTGGTTACTTCACAGGTGAAATCCAAAATACTCTTCAAAAAGCAAACATTCCTTTGGTAACAAATGAAGAGTGCCAGAAAAAATACAGAGATTACCAAATAACCAAGCAGATGGTCTGTGCTGGCTATAAAGAAGGGGGAAAGGACGCGTGTAAGGTAATCCATTAGCTTACAAAAAACACACCCAGCCTACTTGAGAAAACTCTTTTCAAGACGTATTTTCCAATAGTGTATTTCATTATGGTTTTTTAAAGATCTGATACTCTTATAAGTAACCTTTAACAACTTGAATACACATATTATATATTGTATTTATATTATTTATGACATATATGTCACAGTCTTTGCATGTGCATGCTGAATTTAAGGAGGACACATGCCCATACAATAATCATACTAAAATGTAAGACCATTAGAGGTCTTTGACATAGGGATGATCATGTCAAAATTTCATTGTGGGACTGACCTCAGAATAGAAGAGGGAATAAACAGAAAGTGTAACCACACACTGTGAGATTAAATTATTTTCACCACTTCCTACAGTGACCCGGGGCGTATGAGATGCCTAAATAGCTTTAAGAAAGGTGCATGTGTGGGTCTACGTGTGGGGTGTGTGTGTGTGTGTATGCGCTGTAGGGTGTGTAGTATGACTACAGACTTTAAGAGGCAGTCTTACTTGAATCATAACTTTCTATCCTTTTATTTTTCCACTGTGACTCAGGGAGACTCAGGTGGCCCCTTAGTTTGCAAATACAACGGAATATGGCGTCTGGTGGGCATCACTAGCTGGGGTGAAGGCTGTGCCCGCAGGGAGCAACCTGGAGTCTATACCAAAGTCGCTGAGTACGTGGACTGGATTGTAGAGACAATGCAAGGTGACGGAGATGCTTTGATGAAGTCACCAGCGTGAGGGGGCTGTAGAGTGGGGAAGAGCCCCGTCTGTAGTGCTGTTTTTACAGCCTGGGTTGAAAGCAAATACTAAGTCCATCTGCAAAACATGGAGAGCGGTGTCTACCTCGTATCCTGTCCTAAGGATCATGGCAACGCACACCAGCTGCTGAGGATGATGTCTTGCTTTCAGCATGAAGCAAGGTCACAGCCAAGGTCTCCATGATGGTTTGCTGTGAAATAAAATGGCCAAAGTGCATGACTAGCCAGTGTTTTCTTCTGATTGTGAAACAGAACTGAAAGTCAGCAGCTGCAAATTCTAGCACCGTGCTTGGAATCATTCTAATCTTGCTGCTTTTTCTGGAAGCCAGTAGATCTCAGAAATGTCATTTCTTCTTTGTGCCTTACCTGCCTGGTCACTCAAACCTGCCACCGCCTGCTTCACTTGGTGTGAAGAGCTTGCAAACTTGGGTTTCATTCTGCCAAGTGAAAAAGAGGAGACCTCTGTAAAGCTCACCTTTACAAAAATCAGATGACATTTCTCTAGACCTGGGAGACAGGACACCTTTTCTCTTCAGCCTCCTATTTTTGCTGCCTGGGCGTTGGCACAAAGGTTTGGGTGGGGCCAGCAGGGGAGGCCTGTGAGGCTGCAGGAGCTTCACTGAGCAGCCTCTGTGATGGGCAGGGAATCTGCTTTGCAAAGGGCATAGGTCTGGGGGGTCAGTGGATACTAGGTGCTGCAGCAGTAATTCAAGAAGCATTATTAGGTATAAAACGTCTCATAAAATTCAGACTTGTACCTTCCAGGCAGCAGGAGGTAGCCTTTGGAACAGATGACAGAAATCCTTATGCAACACAAATCCCCGGTTTGCAGGGATCACCGTAGCTGATACCAGGTGGCTTTATCTAGTTCAGTTAAGGTGATTAACACTTGCATAGAACTGGCCATTGACAAAATTCTGAATAAGTAGAAAAATAGAAAAGTGAAGTTTTCAAACAGCTTGCATTTTCCCTTCTGTGCTCAAGGACACACCCAAGTGGTAGGAAGGGCTCGAGATGGAAGGGCTGAAGGAGAACCCCAAAGTCTGGATTACCCACAAACCAGACAGCAGGAACTGAAGAGTCAAAAATTCACTTTAAAACTAAATGACTTTTGTAAAATCTGACTAGATTCCATGACATGATCTTAAACACACACAATCTCTACTTTTAGCTTTGCATGCAATAAAGATGTTGGCATTTGCTTCATGGCGATTTTGTTTTATGTTTAAAGGGGGAAAATAGTTTGCAATAAAAATCTTTTATCTCAGGTTTGTGGTATTGATCATTCCAAAGGGTGTTGGAACTAGATTTTGGAATGCTTGCAGGATAAACCTTTGGCCTCACTGGTCGGGAAATGACCTAGTTTGGGCAAAACAGAGAGGAGAGTTTTGAAATGTGGAACTTTCTAGAGGCATACATGATCTTTGTAAAGTTACCAAAGCCCAGTAGGCCCGCAATGGTCTCCTGATGACTCACCACGTGCTCATGTAGGGGTGAGCGGGGGAGCCCTTCACACAGTTACAGCCTCACGGGTCTGAGAAGAGGGTCATAGGCTACGAAAGTAAGAGGCTGATAAAGGACAAACATACGGACTTCGCAGCAACTTGGATAGATTTAGACTCTATAAGACTCAATGCTCTATCACAGAAACAAGGATCTGAGTACCACATGTTCACACTCATAAGTGGACCCTGAAAATTTACCATAATACTATAAGAAAGGAATTGGCAGTAGCGGGACACTGCCAGGGAAGAGGTAAGGGCACATCACATCAGCAAGGGTACCGGATCGCAAACCAGGCGAAGTTGGGACCCAAGGGAGACCCAAACTTGACCTGCACAATCACCACTTATATACCTGACCCTGAGTTGTACCCCACATCTTTAAAATAAAAAAAAAGAAAGTGAGAGGCTGGAATAACCTCCCCCTCAGTGGGAGAGTGCAGGGAAGAGGCAGGGCCACCGGCAGCGCCATCCAAGGCCGGTTGGTAGCAGTGACAACCCTGGACACACGCACTGCTCTCTACCCATGACAACAGCGTGTGTATGGAATGACACGCCACGATCTGGTATGATGGTAGCCCAGGGCCCCACCGTCTGTCTCATCCTTACTAAGGAATGGAAAACACCTAGTGTCAACTGAAAACTTTTTCTTTTAAATATTGCTTATTTTGATCTGCTCCACTGAACTGTGAGCCGCTTCTGTCAGGCCTTTCTCCCATTCATGTGGCATATAAATGGGCATTCCGTAAATGTCTAATGAATGAGGACATTTTTATGATAAAAACAAGCCGGTGGAAGCTTGAAGAGGTAAAAATATGAGCTCAAAGTCACTGACAAGGACAGAGCCGGGGCGAAGCTTGGCGTTTCTAACCCGGATGGTGTCATCTATCCCAGATCCTGTTGCCTCTTACTATGAGAAGGATAAAGGACGGCAGGAACAGTGATGATGCTCATGTGCCGTTTCCACGATTATCAGACACTGCGATTCTCTACCAGGAGCGGTTTTGCCCTTCCCTTACCTCAGGGGATATTCGGCCATGTCTAGGACTGTTTTTGGTGGTCAGAACTGGGGAAGTGCCACTGGCTGTGACAGGTAGAGGCCAGGGATGCTGCTAAACACCCTGTGATGTGGGGTGCAGTCCCTCGCAAGAAAGGCTTATCCTGCCCCCATTTCAATAATGCCAGGGTTAAGAAACCCTGATCAAAGGTCAGCATTAAAACTTTATCATGAAAAGAGGACATTCCAGGGACAGCAAGAAAAGGACAACAAGTAGTGTCCTTTTTCTTTCCTTTTTATTTTTTGGGCACATTATATTTGCACATATTTATGAGGTATATGTGAAATTTTGCTACATGCATAGAATGTGTAATGATCAAGTCAGGGTATATAGAGTATCCATCACCTGAATATTTATCATTTCTATGTTTTGGGACCATTTCAAGTCTTATTTTTCTAGCTATTTTGTTTTGTTTTGTTTTGAGTTGGAGTCTCACTCTGTCACCCAGACTGGAGTGCAGTGGCCGCTCCCGGCCACCGCAGCCTCGACCTGCTGGGCTCCAGCGATCCTTCCGCCTCAGCCTTCCGAGGAGCTGGAATTACAGGCACGCACTACCACGCCCGGCTGATTTTTTGATCGATTGTAGAGACGAGGTCTCGCCAAGTTGCCCAGGCGGGTCTTGAACCCTCGGGCTCAGGCAATCCACTCACCTCAGCCTCCCAAAGCGCAGGATTACAGGCTGAGCCACCGAACCCAGCTTCTAGCTATTTTGAAAAGTACAATACATTGTTGTTAACTGTAGTTACCCTGCTCTTCTGTCAAACCTATTTTTTTCCTACCTGTATACTTGCACCCATTACCCCATTACCCACCCTCTCTTCACCTTGTCTGTCCCATTTCCACATCCTGCCCCAACTCTGGCAACCGCCCTTCCACTTTAACTCCATGAAATCAACTTTTTCTGCTCCCACGTGTGAGAACAAGTGATATTTGTCTTTCTGGCTTATTTCACTTCACATAATGACCCCCAGTTCCATCATGTTGCTGAAAACAATAGGATTTAATTCTTTCTGTGTCCTTTTTTCAAAGTGAGTTTTAATGAGAGAAAGAGCTCCAAGAGAGAGCCCATTATGCCTGTGACTAAAAAGGAAACTCAGCCAGTGATGCCTTTGTGATCCTTCTGGTGCCAACTAGAGGATTTTAGGTTATAACATGCCCAATGTTTCTCTCACCTTTGATCCTAACTTCGGGCTTGCACTTGGGGCTCTGTAGACTAATTCTAGATTTTTTCCTGAGACTTTTGTCTAGCTATTCCTATTTTCATCAAGCTTCAAAAATGTTTCATTTCACTGGAAACAAAACATTTTAGATAAAAGTAGTTGATATACGAATTTTAAGCTGCAATGCATTTGTTGAAAATGATTTTTAGAATACTTATGGTCGGTCAGCTTGAGAGTAAAATCGATCAAATACCTCACGTTCTCGGTTTTAAGTGGGAGCAAACCACTGAGTACACATGAATGTAAAGATGGAAATAATAGACCCTGGGGACCCTAAAAGTGTGTGTGGGGGGGTGCAGGGTGGAAAAATTATCTATGGGGTACAATGTTTGCCATTTGGATGAGGGGCACACTAGAAGCCCAATCCCCACCAGTGTGCAACATACTTATGTAACAAACCTGCACATGTAAACTCCTGAATTAAAAATGAAATAAAAAATCAAAAAAGAAAGATCTGTTTAATCTCAGCAGTTTTCTACATAGTTAAGTCTCCTATTCTATTTTTATATGGATAGACAAAAATATTTTGGGTTCCCGATACTATTTCAGATGCTTTAGAGATTCCACTAACCAGCTAAATCAAATTTGGGAAAACATTATTTGATTTTCCGATGAAACACTCCTCTAGTTTAAAGTCTTTGTGATTCTCACAATAAGATTGGAGAGTTATCATTATCTTCTTTCTACTGGGGCTTAAGAATAGAGATGGAGTTTCACAGAGCAAACAATACAGGGATATACAGACCTTATATAATCTCACATATCTGTTTTCCGTGAAAACTTTTCTTGGCACGAATGTGCCATGCTACATTCGAGCCTCATAAAAGGCAATGCATTGTAAACAGGTGCTCTTTGTGTGACTGGAATGTGTTGAACTTCAAATGGGGAACTCAAGAAAGCAACTAAGGGCTCTCTGTGCCAAGAAGGGTCACCGTACACTGGCAAAAGATCAAATGAAGACAGATGACTGCCTCATAGAGAGGGCATCCCCGTTTTTCTTCTGCCCTTGACCTAGAGACCTCTTCTCAGCTCAAGTCACCCTCCGTGCTCTGTCCAAAGGAACAGAATGCTGCCTTCTCCCTTTCCAAATACTCCCCAGTTTACATGGGGCCAAGTTTCACATGAGAGACTGTGCCAAAGAGTCCCTCGTGCTCTTCATAAATTATCTTCTGTCCCTGATTCCTGTTTCTGTGGGAGGGTTTGAAAGGGCTGTCCAGGGTTCCTCATCTTGGGTCATGGGCTCACCTAGGCATTTGGCCGCCAGGAGGTAGACATTTTCTCAGCTTCACAAACTATGCAGATAATGTCCACAGCCACATTATCGTGATAGTTAGGAAAGGAGATTGTCACTCAGTGACCCCAAACATTGAAGTGTTCAAATTACACTGGTGACGTTTTCTGGGTTCAGAAGATCACACGCATATGAGTACATTGTCCCTGAACAAAGTGCACTGCTTTCTTTGGTACACACAACTTCAGCAGGGTCTCCAGCAGGGACAAACTTATTATTTTATTTCTTCCCTGGTTTTTGAAATATTTTTTAAAAGCTATAATTTCATTGATAAACTTAAAACCTTATTTTGCTTTCCTAAGGAAAATTGAGAACCTTCCCAGAACCATGAAATTAACTTTCTCTAAAACTTATTTGAATCAGACATATTAAACACCGTTTTTTTCTTGTTGTTAGGTTTCCAGGGGACCTCACAGAAGTCCTTAGGGCCAGTTAGTTTCTAGTATTCTACACGAGGTAGCTAAAACCCAGACAGATAAAGCAAGTTAGCTGAGGACCTGCAGATAGCGGCTTACAGTGCTCAAGGGCTTTGCTCAAATTACATGACAAGGAAGCTAATGAACAGGTCTGGGTGACGGTGGACATGGTTGTCATGCTTTCCATAGCACGTTCAGCCCTTCTTCAAGGCCAATGGGACAGCTCTTAAAAGAAATACAATGACGTGACACCCAGAAAAGCATCTCACAAGCTTTCCTCTCTATAAAAGGTGACAGGTCCTGCCACTGGAAGCCTCCCTCCAGGGCAAGGCCCCTCCTCCTTCAGGAAATCGACTTGTTACTTTTTTACTGCTTGTCATGCAACAGCTACACATGTCGCTCCCTAGGTCTCCATGGATGTGTCTCAGTATCCTGAGAACTTCAAAAGGTACAAGAATGCCACATGTTTATATTTTTATATTTTCAGTCCGACTTTGAGCATTCATGAATGGAACAAAAAGAGCTCGGCTCCTCAGAAGTGCATTCTATCTGCATGAGCATCCGAGGAAGTGACATTACGCAGAGGAACACTGGCACTACAAGAGCAGGACACTCACAGTCTGCTCCTTGCTTTCTACCCATCTCCCAGCCCCCAGCCGCCGAAGCACCCTGCCCCCACTACACTGCAAATCAACAAGTCCGTCAGACTTTCCATGTTTTCCTTTTAGACTCTGGGGTTCAAAAGGCTGGAATAATGGTCAACAGTTGATATTTGGAAGTGGGGTTCAAGGGAGCTTTGGCTAGCAGGCATCTTGCCTGACTGCTAAGGCACATAGGCAAATATTTTCACCTTCTCCCGCCATCTCTGTGCGTGTCGCTTGAGTAGACACTAAAAGAGAAAGATAAATTTAATGTATTGAAAAACAAGCAACCTTCTAAAGGTACACTTCTGATACTTAGAGATTTTAAGGACTTTCACAAACACGTTGCACAAAGAGACGATGTTACATAACATTGGAAAACAGTAAAAGTAAATATTCAAGTTGACTGAACATTACCTACACAAGCTCATTTAGAGGAGAATGAAGACCATTTTGGAAGAAGAAAAACACCTGTATTAAGAATTGCAGCATATAAAAAACCTTTCAGGTATGGTTTCAAAAAAATATTACTTTCTCTCAAGCAACGAAGCCTTGAAATGCTATTTTCTACCAAGGGTATTTTTAATAATTTTCAAATAGAGAATGATTTTTTAAAATGTCTCTGATTTAACATGTTAAAGATGCTTAGTTAATATCTATAACCAATTTGACAAGAAATACAGGATGAAAGAAGAGCAGTTTCTACCCAATAGCAAGTATTTTACAAATTTAAAAAGGGATCCAAAAGCAATACTGGAAAATCAGAAAGTCTTAATTTGCCCCACTGATGACTCAGTTTTTCATAGAGCAGTCCATTCAATGCTTGGTGGGATGAACACATTTACAGGTGACCACAAGACAATCTATTCTATTTGAAGCAAGGTTTTTTTTTTTTTTTTTTTTTTTTGTAAATAGAAAATTTCATAAGTAGAAAATCATTCAGAGTCTTTGACAGATAAAAAGAGAGACCTGGAAGATGGAAAGGAAATAAATTGGAAAGGAAAACAAAGGGAAAACTGGGGTGGGGAGAATTGTCAAACGGCAAAGATAAGAAGGATCTGATTACTCATGAGGTGGAGGAAGGGAGAGGACAAGGGGAGCTCCTTCCCTCTCAGCTCTAGCTTCTGCAGGGTGACACAAGTGTCAGACACTGTGCACACACCATGCTGAGGAAGGCTCTAGGGTTTGGGAAATATGAAGTTCAGTGTTATGGTAAGAACCCTGTGAATACTATTAAATTACTCCCTGTGGACACAAAGTTACTCCCCTCCCTCCCTATTTCTTGTAAATCTTGATGTTACGAAACTAATTCTGATTTTGCATTTTATATTCTAAAAGCATACACATTTTTCTCTTTGTAGGATGATTTTATTATATCAAATGATACATTTCATTCTATTTGCCTCAGTTTCTGGTGGTAAGTAGAGCTTTATCCTAAGTATGGACTGGAAAAACTTGGTTTCCTGACCTGTAGATTAGAAAACAAGGAGGCACAAGCCCAGAGAGGAGAATCACACTAGGGTCCCATACACATGGAAGAATCTCACACCATCCATATCATCTACTGCAAGGAAGAAAATAAAATAGTTTTATTTTCTGCTAAGGCTCCAGTGGTTTTAAAAGCAGAGAAGGAAATTGAGGTGAAGAAATTGTTCATAATAGTAGGACTCTTATTAGTATGTCTATATGTATATGTATCTATCTACATCTATACATATCTACGTAACTCATTTAAATGATATTTAAGAGCAATAGTATAAAGTAGAAATCTTAACCTCACTGATTAGTCAGTTTTTCAGAAAGCAGTCAATTCAATACAACACACACACACAAGCAATTTGGGACCAAAAAAATGTTACGTACATATTCACACATAGTCTATTCCGCTAAATTTGTTTATGAATTACATAACCAATATTTAGTAGTACTTATCAATACAAGTACCATTGTTTCTGATACAATTGCTAGCATTTTAAACACAGTAAACTCTTTTCTGGCATATGTCAAAAGTGGTTAACCTAAGTAAAGAGATTCAAAATAAAATAAATTTTAATTAAATTATACAGTTCACAATTTCAGTTTTCTTTGGAACAAGAGTCTTATTCAGGTTTTTATATTCCTTTGTTGTCATTATTTTGAAGTTTTATTGTTATTTCATTGATAAACATGTCAGTGCTAACTCATTTGACATATTTTGAACATTGGACCCAACAATTGCATGTATAATCAACTCTCTGAACCATTAATTCAACTATTCTTCAATCAAAAATATTTTTGTGAAAATTTGTGGTTGTACTGAACATAGACAGGTTTTTCTTCTTTCATTTTTCCTAACCAACACAGTAGAACTATTTACATAGTATATTGTATCAGGTGTTATTAGTAACCTAGATGTGATTTAAAGTATATGGGAGGATGTGTGTAGTTTGTATGCAAATGCTGTGTCATTTATATCAGGGACTTGTGCATCTGTGGATTTTGATATCTGAGGGAGGGCCTAGAGCCAATGATATTGAGGTACAACTGTATATATATATATATATATATATATATATATATATATATATATATATATATGTTCTTTATATATGCATGTGGAGCATTTACAAAAATGGACCACATGCAAGGCTCTAAAACAAGTCTCAACAAATTTTAAAAGATTAAAATTATCCAACCACCATGGATGTGAACAGAATATAATTTTAAAAGAGGACTGAAAAATCCCCAAATATTTTAAAATTAAGTATACCTTTTACAATAAATATGGGACAAAGAAAAGATCACGATGGAAATTAGACAATGATGTGTACAATAATGAAAATATAGCATATCAAAACGGTGAGATGTAGCTGATTCAGAGCTCAGATCAAATGTATATATTTACACGTATACATTAGAATAGAAAAAAGGTAAAAAATGATGCAAGAATAGAGTTCAAGGAGAAAGAAAGATAATAGCAAATTAAGTGCAAAGAAACTAGAAGGGAAAAAAAAACACAGCAGAGATTAATTAAATGGAAAACAAGTGTATATTAGAGAAGATTACATTCTCCAACCTATTTTATAAAGTCAGTGTAATCTGGATACCAAAACCTGATAGGGACATTCTGAGAAAAAATAAGATTCTCACAGGCCTTTTTTAAAAATCATGAACATATATGCAAACATCCTGAACAAAATATAATTAAACTTAATACAGCAGTGCATTGAACAAAAATGATTACATTGTGATATTGCAACAAAGTTGGATTTATTTCAGGGATCAAATGTTCATTTAGCCGTCAAAAATCGGTGGCTGCATTACTTTGAGGTATATACCTCAAAAAAGTGAAGCAGAGACTGGGCGTGGTGGCTCATGCTGATAATCCCAGAACTTTGGGAAGCTGAGGCTGGAGGACTGATTGAGCCCAAGAGTTTGAAACCAGCCTAGGCAACACAGGAAGACCCCGTCTCTACAAAAAATTTAAAAATCAGCTGAGTGTGGTGGCATGTGCCTGTAGTCCCAGCTACTTGGGTGGCTGAAGTGGGAGGATCACCTGAGCCCAGGAGGTTGAGGCTGGAGTGATCGTGCCACTGAACTCCAGCCTGGGCAATAGTGTGAGACCTCAACTCAAATCAATCAATCAGTCAATCAATCAATCCAGTGAAGCAGGGACTCAAACACATATATTTGTACACTATGTTCATAGCAGCATTATTCACAATAGCCAAGATGGAAATTATGTGTTTATCCATAGATAAATGGATAAGCAAAATGTGGCACATACATACAATGGAATATTATTTAGCCTTTAAAAGGAAGGAAATTTTGACACTTGCTATAGCATGGGTAAACCTGGAACACATTATGCTAAATGAAAGAAACTAGTCACAAAAAAACAAATTCTGTGTGATTCTACTTACATGAGATACCCAGAGTAGTCAATTTTATAAAAACATAAATTATAATAGAGGTTACCAGGGGCTGAGGGGCTGGGGGGAAAAGAAGACTTAGTGTTTAATGGGTACAGAGCCTCATTTGGGAACGTTGAAAAGTTCTGGAGACAGCCGGTTGCATAGCAATGTAAATGTGCTTAACATCACAGAATTGTATACTTAAGAATGGCTGAAATTGTACATGGCATGTTATATATTAATGCAATAATATAAAAATAATTTTAAACATTAATACATGCAGGGAAAATATTTGATAAAATTCTATTGATGACAAAAACTCTTAGTAAAGTGGAAGTAAAAGGAAGCCGTCTTCAGCCATTAAAAGATATTTTAAACAACAAAATGAACACAAATCCAAACCAAAAATCTTCAAGAAACCTTATTCATAATCAGAAAATACTGAATGTTCTCTCCAGAGATTGAGAATAAGACAAGAATACTCACCATTACTTCTATTAAATATTATGCTAGAGGGCAGAGCAGAAAGGAAGTGTGAGTGTGGTGGCATATGCCCCAGCTATTTGGGAGACTGAAGTGGAAGGATCACCTAAGCCCAGGTGATCCTTATTAAATATTATACTGAGAGCGTCTGAGCAGACAGGAAATAAAAAGAAATAAAAGATAAAAAAATAGAAGGAAATAAACTCAGGGTTCACAGATGACATAACTTTGAATCCAAAAAATCCAAAATAACCAGCACATAAATTATTTGAGCCAATAAATTAAATTAGCAAGAAGTATGGGTACAATATTAATATACAAAACAAACACTTGCTAGTTTGTAAAAACAGATTCACTAGTTTTCACTGACACCGAGAGCTACCTTTCCATTTTGAATATAAATTTTTCTTGTAAAATTAAATGATCCAATTAGTAAGAGATGTATTCCAAGAAAATTGGCACATATATTAAATATATACATTCTAGTTAATTTATTAGAGCAAATAATTAATATTCTTCTTAAAAGTAATATTGCAACATAGCATGATTGCTTTGCACCAAAAGGTAGGCTTCCATTGTCAATGGGAATATTTTGAAGTGAGGTTAGACGCTCCACTAATGGAAGGTGGCCACGCATGTCAGGTGGAAGCAACACAAAGCTTGGGGTGAGGACATGCTACCACACCCAGGCCGTGAGACTCCGAGTTATCAGAAAATGATAACGCTAGAGCATTGATTTCAAATAAGCACAGAGTATGGACAAAGGGAGCAATTAGGAAGGCAGAAGGCACATTCTCAACCTGGATGGGATCCTACAAAACCTCTTTCGCTAGTGAAGATCTAAGAAATGATTCAATAACCCACAAAGCACTCCTTGTCTCCATGGCAATTACTCATAAGCACAATTCCATTGAATTGTGATTTTCTTGTTCATCTGAGGCTTTTCATCCAATAAACTGACAAAAGAATGCTGACTGCCTTGATTTCCAAATTGTAGGCATGTTTCCTGTTAAGTTAGATCTACTTGTCTTGCCTTTGTGAGATTATTACCTAGTTAGGTATGCACCCACCAAAATCCAAAATAACCCATGCCATGTATTGCCTCACAGAATGTGTGACCAAGCTGTTCAAAGATACCTACTTTGAAGGAGGGGACATTACTACTGTTTTTACACCAACCTTCAAGCACTGCCAAGTAGAATGCACCTACCATCCAAGATGTTTGCTCTTTACTTTTATGGCTGAATCATCATCTGAAGATCCTAATGAGTGGTAAATGTTTACATGTCTACATAGAGGAGATTGGTTTTCAGGATGATTGCTATTAATAAAAATCTCCATCTATTATTTAATAAAACTGAATGTTAACAACTGAAAAATAAATTGTCCTTCTAGTGAAACACTGAGTATTACAGTAAAAAGATGGTCCCGAAGCAGATCAGAAAAGAATACATATGTCTCTCAGTATAGACCTTCCAGACTCTCTTGTGGTCTTAACGATGGATTTTCTCTTTTTCTACTTTTATACTTAATCATGTTGTTCTTTGCTTTTTTACTGACTATCGATATTTGCTATGACTTAAATCGTAACTTCCACCAGCTATTTTATTAGAAAAAAATTAGATATTTATAAAAATAAATTAAAAACTAATACAGTATAATGATCCCTGACACCACCAAGACTGCCATTTTGTCTTACCTACATAAACATACATATATGGCTAACCATCTGAATTAATTTTAAAACATCAAGACACTTCATTCCTAAATATTTCAATATGCATTATCCTGCACAAAAGATAAGAACTCTAGCCAAAATTCCTTCATATTGTCTCAGTTGTTTCCCAAATGTAATTTATAACTAGTAGCCAGAATTTTATCAAAATTCACGAGCTGCATTTAGCTCTTTCGTAGTTTTAAAATTTTAGAACATTCTGTCAACAACTTTTGTTTCCATGTTGAACTTGAAAACTCAATGATAAAGTCATTCTGAAAGATTAAGTATTAACATTTTTGTGTATTATTGCTGCATTCACAGATATTGACATAGCACCCTGACCTTATAAAAGTTACTATTCCAGAATCTAGAACAGGGATCAGAATGAGCCATAAAAGGCAGAGAGTAAGCTGGGAATGATGACTCACGCCTGCAATCCCAGCACTTTGGGAGGCCAGGGTGGGAGGATTGCTTGAGCCCAGAAAGCTGAGGCTATGATGAGCCATAATTCTGCCACTGCACTCCAGCCTGAGAGATAGAGTGAGACTCTGACTCAAAAAAAAAGGCAGACAGTAAATATCTTAGGCTTTGTAGATTCCGTGGCAACACCTTAGCTTAGCTTGTGTTCTATATACAATCAGGCAGATTTTTGGTTGCATTTTACTAACAGACCCAGAGTTCACCCACTCCTGTTTGTTTCCTAATATGAAGAAGTATTATATGTGGTCTCTTCAGTGTAGAGATGTTAGAATGAAAAACAAACTCACAGTCTTGCTAAGAAAATATTTATTTTAGCATGAAACCCAGTAGCATGTTTTCTTTTTTTTTTTCTCTTTGGTTTTCTGTGTGCTTTTAAGAGTCATTGTTTTAAAACATCAATTCCCATGCAATTATATCTTTTTTTTTTTAAATAGGTTTACTTGTATCCTGAAAGATAGTGTTACAGAAACACTGTCAAGAGTGAATAGGACAGGAGCAATTTCTGGATATTCTTTCAAGCAATGCCCACACCAAATAAGTGGTAAGATGTCTCATTCGAATTAATAAATACTAGTTATTGTGATGTATGCAGATAGTTGCATCAGATGTAGTTTTATGGCTATAAAACAAAACACTTCTATGTGGACAAATTTCCTCTAATGAAGTTCTTTTAGTGTCGGGTGAAAACCAGTTTATACCCATGCTTACACGCTCACAAACACAGTCCACTAAAATTTATTTACCTCCTAGAAAGACATATCTCACTATCTCACGTATTATCATTTGTTTATTTTCATTCTCCTTCCCAGCCTAAAATCTTACATGAAAGTCTTTATTAAACATATTAATTCAAATCAACGGGAGCAAGTAAAAGATTAAAGTGAAATAGAAACTTTAATTGGTTAATTATTGAATCAATCAGCCACTAGAATTAGGGAGACCAGGGTTAGGTCAGAAAATGGAACTGTGAATTTACAAGTCTAAAATTGTTGCAATAGAAGAACGTGGACATTTTTTCCCCCGGCTTACATGAAGGAATAGAAATCCCACAGGTTAATGTAACAAGGGACTTCTGAGGAAAAGCAGGTGAAAAAGTTAAAAGAGTGAGTCAGGAAGGACAGTTGCCAAGGCAGCAATACAGTCCTTGCCTCCTGGAATCTGGAAGGTACCCATGTGTTCTGCTTTAATTTCCAGCTTGCAACAAAGACATTTATGTGGACCTAGAAATGAAGGGCATGAGCTATAACAGCTCTGCTGCCAAGAATGCTCAGGAATGCCAAGAGAGGTGCACGGATGACATCCACTGTCATTTTTTCACATATGCGACAAGGCGGTTTCCCAGCATTGAGCATCGGTGAGTGAGCTGTAAGTTCAGTTCAAGGACATCAGATCAGAGTGTGCACTGAAAAACAAAATGGTGTTTTTCTAAAACTTTTTTCATCAACTTGATACCAAAATTTTTATTCCCTAAAAGACATTTCTATGATAGTACTCCTAGTTTTTTTGTGTGTGTGAAAAATGCAATAAGAAGCCTAATTTGAATATTTTATTTATGGTAAGGAGTCTGTCTTTTGATGACACTGTTAGAAAAAAATACAGACACTTAATACTATCTAACTAATACCTATCATCTATACCTGTCATAATGGCCATTATGTTTTAAAAAAACATGAAATAGATGCTGGTGCAGATACAGTGAAAAGGGAACCCTTAAACACTGTTGGTTGGAATATAAATTAGTACAACCTCTATGGAAATAAAAGTAGATCTGCTATTTGGTTCAGCAACCCCACTACTCAGTATCTACTCAAAGGAACATAAGTTGTTATATAAAAATGACACCTACACTCACATGTTTTTGGGGTTTTTTTTTGAGTTGGAGTCTCGCTCTGTCACCCAGACTGGAGTGCAGTGGCCGCTCCCGGCCCCCGCAGCCTCGACCTGCTGGGCTCCCGCGATCCTGCCGCCTCAGCCTTCCGAGTAGCTGGAACTACAGGCACACGCTACCACACCCAGCTAATTTTTTGATTTATTGTAGAGATGAGGTCTCGCCAAGTTGCCCAGGCAGGTCTCGAACCCGCAGGCTCAGGCAATCCACTCACCTCAGCCTCCCAAAGCGCGGGATGACCGGCTGAGCCACCGAGCCCGGCTATATTTGAGTTTTAACATTGGAATTTTACATTCTGCTTTTCGCTTTCACACACACCAAAAAAGAAAGATACGTGGAAAGTAAACAAAGATTTATTTCAAAAACACCACTAATAAGACACACACACACACACACACACACACACACACACACACACATACACACACACACACACACACACACACACACATATATACACACCAAGTTAGTCGTTAGACTTCCATGACTTGACTTTAGCTCAGCTCTTTTATGTGTGTGATTAACATCATATGAACTGCAAGCCACAGAAGAGGGGGGAGTCTAGGCATTATTAAAACATTATTTAAAAAATTAAGTGAGAAGGGCTGGAGAAGTTATCCATTTGTGTACTCCCACTCTTCCTGCTATCACCGGCTTAAGCTGCCATGTCACTGATAAAGAGATAAAGTTACAGAATTCACAGGACCACAGGTGGGAGGAAGGGGGTGGCAGTGTAGGACCACCTCTCAGACGCTCAGACGGCTGCCTTAGGGTCATTCCTTCACTGTACGCCCAAGCCATCCTGCACATGGGAATTTCTTATCATTTCATGTTTTCTCCTACTTACAGTTAGAAGGATAAGACATTTTTTCCCTTTTCTTTTTATTCAGTAATGTCTGTCTACTGAAGCACACCCATACAGGGACACCAACCAGAATAGTGAAGCTCAGTAAAGTGGTGTCTGGATTTTCACTGAAATCCTGTGCGCTTTCTAATCTGGGTAACTACCATCTTCTTAATGAGGTGCTTTAACCCCCAAATATGGACGATGCTGATGATATGTGCAAAACCCTACCTTGGAATCCCAGCTTTTATATTCATTGATGAAATGGACCCAAAGACCTCTTATCTTCTTCATGGGATAGATTTCATTATGTCCTATAGAGTTAGAGTTTATATTTAAATTTCAAGTGTAAAACAATCACTTCATTTTCTTCTAAATTAAAAAAATTGAAAAGACCATGAGATACATTTACATTTTTGAATATGGACTTTACAAATACTATGACTGGAATGTTCACGATTCTGCTGGCGAACTGCTTTCCTAACCTGGTTTCCTCTGTCGTGCAGCTTGTATTAGGGACATTTTCCCCAGCACAGTGTTTGCGGACAACAACATTGGCAGCGTTGTGGCCCCTGACGCTTTTGTCTGCCGCCGCATTTGCACTCATCATCCCAGCTGTTTGTTTTTCACCTTCTTTTCCCAAGACTGGCCAAAGGAATCTCAAAGGTAAAGAGTTACAACCAAGGGCCATTTGTTACCTCTTTAAAATGAGCTCCTCAAAATTCATCACGAAAGGTTCTCAGGAACTCACAATTTAACCTGAAGGTCTGTATAGGACAAAAGTTGCAAAGAAGAATTCCTCGCTCCTCTCCCCTTCTATTCCCCTCCTAGCCACCCCAAGTCCAATGCTTCCAAGGGCTCCTTTTTCTTCAGCTAAGGGAGGTCTCTGCCTTCAGCACAGGGAGAGTTGTCTGGTTCCCGCTGGAATGAAGAGCGTAAGAATGGCCAGGAGGAAGCGTTTCAGTCCGATGTCCTGTTTCTGACCAACAAACCAGGAGCAGGAAAAGCTGGAAACAACAGTGAAATGTCAAACTCAAAGTGGGAAGGAGAGAGGTGGAAGCCAAGATCTCCATCAAGCAGGCTGGGGTGGTAGCGGAAGGAGATTCAAGAAATGGGGCCCTGCTTCCCCATCAATGTCATAAAAAGCGTGGGAAATTTCTTTGACCATCAAAAGGTCACTTGCTGGGGTTGCTGTCATTCATTAACAAAATGCACTTTTCAAAGATCACGAGACCAATTCAGTTATAAAACCTAGATTCGATATATGGTCTGATCAGAACTCTCGGAGGCCTTGGCATTCGCTTGGCTTGACTGCCCGTTGTTGGGTAGAGTGTCTGCAGAGCAGTCCAGTCAGGGCGAGTCCTTGGCTGTCTTGCCTGTCAGGTAAGCCTCCCTTTCCACAGAGTAAGGCCGTAATTTTAGAAGCACCACGCAAATAAATCTGTTACTTTCATTTACTGAACAAATTTAATAGCAATTATTTGGGGACTATTACACATCAGGCATGGCTCTAGACACTGGAGTTACCATTTGTGAACGAAGTAGGTAAAACCTTGCCCACTTGGACCAGAGTGGAGATGGGAGAGAAGTGGTCAGATTGAGATATTCTGTCAACGTAGAGATGAAAGGATTTGCTGATGAATTGGATGTGGGTTGTAAAGGAAAGAGTCAATGATATTGCCAAGACTTTTGGCCTAAGGAATTGGAAGGATGAAAATGTCAATGACTGAGAGGTGGGAGATTTCACAAGGAGGAGAGTCCAGGAGGAAGTGATGCCTATTAATTTAGAGAACGATGCTGAACTGACCATTGGAAATAGAAATTGGATTCAGAAGACAGATTCATGCTCTTAGATCTGTGTTTGGGTGTCACCAGCATATGACTGGTAATTAAAGCCATGAAATCACAGTGAAATTACCAAAGGATTAAATGCGGACTGAGAAGAAAATAGGTCTGAAAAATGAACCTGGGGAAATGATAAAGTTCAGAGACTAGAAAGTCTTTGTAATTTGCAATTTTGTGTTAATCGCTGATCTTTTTCTATTGCCTTATTCCCTTTTATAAAACTACCAGTCAATACCTACAAAGAGGAATGCATTTGATATTTAATACAGAGTGTGATAGAAACATGATTTCTACTTAAATTTGAATTAATTAAAATTAAGTAGAACTAAAAATTAACTTCCTCAGCTGTATTAGTCACATTTCAAGGGCTCAATGTGGCTAGTAGCTACTGTAGTGAATGGTATAGATATATAACATTTCCATCATTCTGGAAAGTTCTATCGAACAACTTTGCTCTAGACTGTGGTTTTGTGCTATTTAGGAAGTCACTGCCTTCCAGGAAGATGCAGCCAGAGTATGGAGTCAGCAATGGACTTCACTTATCCCCTTTAAGCATGTAGCAACTATGAATAGGAGATTTCTAGGTAGCATGAAGATTCTTGAACTCTTGAGATAAGTTGAAAGTATTGAAAGGAAGGAAATAAAGATGGAAGATACTAGGAGCATTGACAATAGAGTAAGCTCAGAAGGCTTTTACAGAGCCAGATGGTTTAGTTTTGAAAATTTGTCTGAGTGGGTGGAGCGTTGATTATGACTCAGTGATTCATGAAGAGTACTTTTGAAATAAGAACATCTTCAATGTTAAGTGCCCACGTGTGCTGACTTTATCTTCTACATGTGTTGTAAAAACAAGCTTTTTATCTTTGGTGTGCTTGATATGAAACGTTTCTATTTCCCTTTTGTTTTTGTTAGAAATCTTTGCCTCCTTAAAACATCAGAGAGTGGGGTGCCAAGCACACGCATCAAGAAGAGCAAAGCTCTTTCTGGCTTCAGTTTACAGAACTGCAGGCACAGCATTCCAGGTAAACAGCCCAAGTGCTTTATTCTGACTGAGATCAACACCCCCGAGGATGCGAGGGGGGTGTCTCATGTCTGTTGTGGCATTTGTCATCCAGTGTTCTGCCATCCTTCGTTTTACCGTGACACTGATTTCTTGGGAGAAGAACTGGACATTGTAAAAGCGAATGGTCACGAAGCCTGTCAGAAGATGTGCACCAGCGCCATCCGCTGCCAGTTTTTCACCTATGCCCCACCTCAAGGGTCTTGCAGCGAAGGGAAGTAAGACACACACAGGATTCCGTGGACACCCTTGTCCCACCCATTTGTTGAGATGCATTGTGTTTCTACCATTTTGTTTCCAACTGTAGGGGCAAATGCTACTTAAAACTTTCTTCAAACGGATCGCCAACTAAAATACTTCATGGGAGAGGAGGCATCTCTGGATATACATTAAGGTTATGTAAAATGGATAATGGTAAGTAGAATGGCACTTGGAAAAATATGCTTTAAAGTGATTCCGTATTGAATATATCACAACCAAGAGGGGAGAAAGTTAGTAAAATAACAAATTTAGCAGTTTTCTATTATTTTTGCTCTTATTACCCAAGCGGATTGTGTTTTTATTATTTATTTATTTATGTTGGAGGTGGAATCTCACTCTGTTGCCCATGCTGGGATGCAGTGGCATGCTCACTGTGGCCCAGTGTGCTAGGCTCAGGTGACCCTTCTGCCTAAGCCCGCCAAGTAGCTGGAACTACAGGTATGCACCACCATGCTAAGCTAAGATTAAGATTATTGTAGAGAGGAAGTCTTACCATGTTGTCCAGGCTGGTCTCGAACTCCTGGACTCTCAGACAAGCCTCTTGCCTTGGCCTCTCAAAGTGTTTGGATTACAGGCGTGAGCCACCGCACCCGGCTTGATAGTGTTTTAAGGGTAAATATTGGGTCTTGGCTAAACTCTACATTGCCTATTATTATCTGAATACGTGTTTTAACTTGGCACTACATGGTAAGACCCAGACTCAGCCAATTTCTGAGCATAGTAGCAAGAGATGGATTGTGGGCAAATAGAATTGTTTTAAGGGACAGAATCCCCCAAAGGAAGAAATATACCACAAACACTCCTCCCTAAATGACCGTAATACCTCTGGTGGCTTGACTATGCAAAGTTATTGATCTATGCAAAGTTGTATGTTCTTAGACTATGTATTACTTAATGTCCAATATTATAATACATTGTAATTTAGGATGCAACTGAAACTTAATGAATAAAGTGGAAGTGATAATCATGCTTGTAATCATTTTAGAAGTAGAAAAGTCTTTGGTGTCAGATTCTTCGCTGTGGTTAGAATCAATCCTTCATTTCTGGAACTTGTTTTGTAGAACATACAGATGCTAACTGTATCCAATGCTAATATCTTGACTAGCACATTATTCTTTGCCAGAGTTTAAAGGGGCTTTGATGAAAATCTTCAGGTGGTTCAAGCTTCTTTAAAAAGATAGTCAAGGCTGGGCATGGTGGCTCAAGCCCGTAACCCCATCATTGAGGCTGAGGTGAGAAAATTGCCTGAGCCCATGGGTTTGAGACCTGCCTGGGCAACATGGTTAAAACTTGTTTCTACAATAAATCAAAAAATTAGCCCGGCGTGGTAGCGTGAATCTGTAGTTCTGGCTACTTGGAAGGCTGAGGAGGAAGGATCTCTGGAACTTAGCAGGTTGATGCTGGGGTGGCCATGAGTGTGCCACTGCACTCCAGCCTGGGTGACGGAGTGAGAATCCAACTCAAAAAAAAAAAAGACAGTCAATTAAGTTGTGTCTCATACATTCTCTGCTTTCCTCACAATAAATTTACCTAAGACAAAAAAGTAGTGCTCAAAATAATTCTATTGTCTTTTTCTACTTCTAAACATTAAAAGGGACACTTAGCAAATCTTGCTGTTAAGTGATGTCAACATAGTTTTAAAAAACGGGAACCAGCACTTATGCCTGTGATAAATTACAGGTCCATTTGCCACCCTTTCTTCTTTATTATGTTTTTCGTTGTGGAATTTATAGACTGTGGCCTGTAGAGGTTGCAGACTGTATCAGGGCAGATTGATAGCTGCAGGAGAACACGTAACATAAAGGAAGATGAAATCTTGTGTCTCTTCAGTGTAACTTCTGAAGTGAGAGAATCATATAACTAGGGTTTATTGCACTGCATCAGATGAAACAACTCTTTAATATGAAAGGGAATGCCTGACACATTTATTACATCCTATACTGTCACTGGTCTACAATATAACACCTTTCTGAAGACTGATAGCAATGCCATTAAAAGAAACATTCCTTAACACAAAATGTGATGCTAAACACAGATGTTTTCAGCATTTTGTTTAAACTGAGAAACAAAAAAGAGTGAACATCGAGACTTGTCACCTGTACCTAATACGATCTTTATTGAGTTATTTATAACATACCTTAGCTACCACTTACCTATTACTTTTCCTAAAGTTGGCCCTTATGCCGTTTCCCAGACTGCAAGACATGAGGGCTTCCCCAAAATTCCGGAATAGAGTTAAAGTCTTCACGACGAACGCTCACCCATCCACCTTGGACGAGAGTGCCTTGTCCCAGCTCCCGCAAACACATCGTGCTCTTTCTCACCTCAGCTGGCTGTCAGCTGCTGATTCCTTCAAAGCTCCTTTCCCCTCATCTCCTTTTGTTTGAAATCTTCCCCAGAATTACACACTCATTTTCCTACTGTGAAAAGATTGTTTTCCACCTACAAAACTAGTGAATGGACCATCTAGGATTTGACTCTAGACCCGAGTCTCTCCTGCTAACCTCACACTCTCCTTGGGCTGAGAACGCAGAGCTTCCCTGGTCGCTCCAGGCTGGCTCTTCTGAGAATGATCTGGGCATATAGACATACCGAATCTGCATTTTAAAAGCTAGCCAGGTAACCAGTATGCACATTAAAGTTTGTGCTGCTGTGCTCTAGAATATCACCATCTATACACTTCACTCCCACACTGGATTCTTTGGAAGCCTGGGCCAAGGCTCCAATCAGAAGGGTGGGTTCTTGTGTTCGGCATCCCAGGAAGCAGAAATGGAGGACTGTTCTGTCCAGGACAGCCAAGAGGGGAAAGAAACAGAGGGGTGAGTCTGAGTCAAAGTCCTTTAGAAGCACAGAAGTTGACCCGAGAGAACCTCAAACTGCCAACAAGTCCAAAGGGAAGGAAAAGCTTCGAAACGGAAGATCAGTCCTGGTTTGGACGTAGCAGGCATGATGAGGGGCCAAGGCCAGCCCAAGGTGGGAGGCTGAGAGAAGAATTGGACAGAGGCAACAAGCTGAGTGGAAGAGGCTCACATTTTCTCAGTAGCAGTGGTCCTCACTCTGTAGCAGGCTGGTTCTAACTGGGAGCTGAGCTTCAACTACCGATGGATTCATTCACTGATCTGAGGCTGGGCTAAGACTTTGCATGTCTCACAAGTTCCCAGGTGAGGTTGTTGGTCTGGGGACCAAACTTGACAACGACTGCTTCCAAAGAACCATCAGTGTGCTTATCTGAAGAACAAGGACGACCTCAAAGTAGCAGGCGAGACAGGAGTGTTCTGTGGGGCATGTCCTTACACAGTGACTTAGTCGCTTCCATTTTTATGTGCAGGTTTCACTTTTCCAACTTGATTTTAAAGTCTCTGCAACTGAGGGTCAGGGCAAATGACTGAGCTGAAGGAGGGCCTTCTGCCTTTTCTTCCTGAAGCAGCATAACTCCTGATGGAAAAGGCAGGGGTAGAAAGCCACTCACAGTGATCTTTCCGTTGCAGAGTGTACAACCAAAATCCAGCCCAGGATCGTTGGGGGAACCGCATCGGTGCCTGGTGAGTGGCCATGGCAAGTAACTCTGCACATTACGTCACCCACCCAGAGACACCTGTGTGGAGGCTCCATCATTGGAAACCACTGGATACTGACAGCAGCTCATTGCTTCTACAGGTCTGTGCCACTTCTGTTTGTATTAGTCCACCTTCCTCACACACGTATGTGGTCGCTCCTTGCATGCTAGTACACGAATACTTTAAAAATGTTCATTGTCCCATTGCTAAATTAATTTCTTATTAATTAGTTAATTCCTTTAGTGGAAAAGAAAGCAAAAAGAAGGTGTCACTTACGATCTGCCAGCATCAGCACAGGTGCCGGGACATAACACTCAGGTTGCGTCACATCATTGCATGTTTCTGTTGAAGTGTATACACATCCCTGGGACTTGCTTGCTATTCTCTCTGAGAACAGACTACCTTCTGAGCATGCTCTTTGCAATGGGCCCAGAACAAAACTCCCAGAGAATCTCCCGTTCTCTGAATCAAATGTTCCATTCTCTCTCTGTGTGTGTATGTTTTAACATTAAAAGGGTTCATGATGTATGTTTCTTCTCGATGTGCTGCGTATTCATATAATAGTTAGAGGATATATTTGAGGTCAGTAGTCTCCTTTATCTTTTGCATATAGGAGAGTGGGATATCAGAAGTCCAAGCAAATTTCTCAGAGTTACAGCTAGTCATTGGTGGGGTGCAGACTAAACCCAGTACTTTGTGTGTGTGTGTGTGTGTGTGTGTGTGTGTGTGTGTGTGTGTGTGCGCGCGCGCTGGAGAGTGGAAAGGGCATGCATTCATTTTTGTGTGTTTAATATATAAGGTAAATACTTGCTCAGTACCTTCTTTTTTTTTTTTTTTTTGAGTTGGAGTCTCTGTCACCCAGACTGGAGTGAATGCATTGGCCGCTCCCGGCCACCGCAGCCTCGACCTGCTGGGCTCCGGCGATCCTTCCACCTCAGCCTTCCAAGTAGCTGGAACAGCAGGAACGCGCTACCACGCCCAGTTAATTTTTGATTTATTGTAGAGATGAGGTCTCGCCAAGTTGCCCAGGTGGGTCTCGAACCCGCGGGCTCAGGCAATCCACTCACCTCACCTCCCAAAGGCACGGGATTATAGGCTGAGCCACCGAGCCCGGCTAGGACCTTCTTTATAGGTTGAATATGTGATAGAGAGTTCTTGGGATGAAATCACTTTTTTCCATCCAAAAGCCACCATTGGCAGAAAATATTAGTAAATAGCCAGTTAAATAGTCAAACAGTTTTTAAATGCGTGGGAATTATTTAGTAAAGAAAATTTCTTTCCCTCTGCTGTTTGCTTCTTAGGGTAGAGTCACCTAAAATTTTGCGCGTCTATAGTGGAATTTTAAATCAATCTGAAATAAGAGAGGATACATCTTTTTTTGAGGTTCAAGAAATAATAATTCATGACCAATATAAAATGGCAGAAAGTGGGTATGATATTGCTTTGTTGAAACTGGAAACGACCATGAACTACACAGGTATGGAGAATTTTCACTGACAAGTTATCTACAATGGGGACCTAGATAAAATGTTTGACACTACCAGGTTCATGGCTCTATCTTACCAGTCTCCCCACGTGTTGCCATCCTGAAAGGGTCAGGGTCTGGAAAGCTAGACTTTCAGTCTGTCAAGGCTGACACTCCTTCCTGATGATCAAAACTTATTTGGGGACTGTAAGAGACGAGATGAGTTTTCTTCGGACTTCTTCTGGTGCATAGAATGACATCATTTTGCAATATATTGGAATAATACAGATAATTTCGTCTAACATCTCCCTTCTAGGTATGAAAGGATTGAAAGTCAGAGAGATTAAGCAACTTGTACAGGATTGCAAACCTAGTTAGAGTGAAAGAGGCCGTGAGAATGTGTGGCTTGTCTCCCTTCTGCCTCTTCTTCCTAGGATGTCTGATACATAACGCAGGACACAGAGATGAAAATTTATGTCATCAGGGCAAAAATGAATATAATAAGTAGAGAAAACACAAACAATGTAAAGTGAGAGAAGAGAGTCTCTTGTGGAAAAGAAGTATGCTTTGCTTCTGATAACTAAACTATAATTTTAAAATTTAGATTCTCAACGGCCCATATGTCTACCTTCAAAAGGAGACAGGAATGTCATATACACTGATTGCTGGGTGACTGGATGGGGGTACAGAAAATTAAGAGGTAAAAAAATGATGCTATTGTATATGTTCCATCCTAAAAGTCAAGATCATAATCTTTCTGCTCTATCAAGGCATATAGCTAAAATGTAAGTAAAAAGACACAATTCAATGGCAGGAAGTATATTAATGAAGATGGAAAGACAAAAATCGCCCAAGTGAGATGATACCACATCTGTTTCAATGGGAATCTTGAACATAACTACATCTTTTTATTTTTATTCTTTTTTATTTTTTTATTTTTGAGTTGGAGTCTCACTGTCACCCAGACTGGAGTGCAGTGGCTGCTCCCAGCCACCGCAGCCTCGACCTGCTGGGCTCTGGAGATCTTTCCGCCTCAGCCTTCCAAGTAGCTGGAACTATAGGCGCACACTAACATGCTCGGCTAATTTTTTTTTTTTGACTTATTGTAGAGATGAGGTCTTGCCTGCCCAGGTGGGTCTCGAACCCATGGGCTTAGGCAATCCACTCACCTCAGCCTCCCAAAGACGTGGGATTACAGGCTGAGCCACCGAGCCCGGCATCTTTTTAAGACTAATTATATTTAATGGAGTTTTATGTGAAACCTAGCACTTTTCGGTAAATGTTCTAGCTTGTTCTCCAATTACTTTCTCTGGGTAGTAATTCCAGTTAGAGTCATAATTAATCTTTGAACTTAATTAACATTAGCAAAATGGTACATGCACCAGTGAGAATAATGTCTTCTTCACACCTGTAATGATAAAAAGCCTGTGAGGTAAGCCTAATGTTTTTTTCTTTGTAGATTTTTATGTAGGTATAATTTTGATTTTAAAATATATGCATTGTATGCAAATATATTTACATACATATGATTATTCCACCAACAAACTAAAAAAAAAAACAAACTTTTTTTCAGACAAAATACAAAATACTCTCCAGAAAGCCAAGATACCCTTAGTGACAAATGAAGAATGCCAGACAAGATACAGAGAACATAAAATAACCCATAAGATGATCTGTGCGGGCTACAAGGAAGGAGGGAAGGATGCTTGCAAGGTAACAAGAGTTTTCTGCCAACAGAAAGTGTGGAATGCATTCAAATGGAAATGCTCCCTGCATTTTAAAAAGCTTCCTTCTGCCAATGAGCAGGGAACTTGGTGTATTTCTTTTGCTAATACTCACATCTAAAGTGGATAGAATGGCTGGATAAAAGCAAGAATCAGCTTCTCCGAATTGTGGAAAAGGGACCAGGGCAACATTTTTTTTGTTTTTTGAGTTGGAGTCTCACTCTGTCACCCAGACTGGAGTGCAGTGGCCACTTCCGGCCACCGCAGCCTTGGCCTGCTGGGCTCTGGTGATCCTTCCGGCTCAGCCTTCCAAGTAGCTGGAACTACAGGTGCGCGCTACCATGCCCGGCTGATTTTTTGATTTATTGTAGAGATGAGGTCTCACCGCCCAGGCGGGTCTCGAACCCGCGGGCTCAAGCAATCTACTCACCTCAGCCTCCCAAAGGCGCGGGATTACAGGCTGAGCCACCGAGCCCGGCTCAGGGCAACATTTTAAGCGAAATCACTGCACAAAATGTATTGAAGATGGGAGGCGTCCAAACTGATCTGTGTGCCTTTTCCTTTCTTCCTTTGTCCTAGGGAGATTCCGGGGGCCCCTTGTCTTGTAAACACAATGAGGTCTGGCATTTGGTGGGCATTACCAGCTGGGGTGAAGGCTGTGCTCAAAGGGAGCGGCCAGGCGTTTACACCAATGTGGTTGAGTACGTCGACTGGATTTTGGAGAAAACACAAGCAGCGTGAATGTATTCTCTGGACCCATTTAATGCCTGAAGGGCAGACCAGCTTATTCCCTGAAAAGTTTTGATTTCACCAACGAAGGTGCTGTTCCATCATGCTTCCTCCAGAGCAACCACTGAAGGTGAAAGGTGCAGACAACAGTCGGAAGGGCATCCCCAAGATGGCTCTGCCTCCCAAAGACAACAAAGGCCGTAAATTCCTGCCTTTCCCGCCCGCGTGAAACTCAAACCTGTGCTCAAACAACCTCTTCCTATAGAAATGCTACCTCATAGTCTCCTCCAATAA